CCAAGTTGGGGCAGAGGAGAGCTGCCCTGCCTAATCCTGTTTGCCTTCAGTACGGTCATCTCTCAGGATGGAGCAGTGCCTCCATTTCGGCTCCCCTAAAATACAGAGCTTGAGTGATGGGCTTGCCATGCATGTAACTTATTTGGGGAAATGTTCCCAACACAGAGGACTCAAGAACTGGAAGGAAAGAGTAAAATTGGAAAAGCAGACAGTACTACTGGGGATCCTCTGAGAAATCATGTAGCATGTCTTCCCAAAGCATGAAAAAATGGGAAAACATTTATCTATTGGCTTTAGTTCCTCCTGCAAAAGGGATGTTCCATGGTAGCAACAGAGAAACATTGGGTCAGCAAGTAAAAAATACCTGATGCAGCCAAGGCAAGGAGCTGCCAGGTGACATCTGCAGGCAGCAGAATGCTACAGCAATGACTGATAAATGGGTGTAGGAGACATGAGCACCCAGATTTGACTGCTTGCTAATTATGAAAGTTTCCATACCGATTACAGGGAAAACAGAATTTAGCCACCAAAGCTTTTATTTTTAAAGTTTCTGCTGTTTCTTTAAGAGTTGTTGCTTTCATGCATTTAAAGACTCTAAAATCCTGGTATTCAACTTTTGAAAAAAAAATTGGCTTGGAGGAACACTTGTTCCAACAAGACAATGAATTTGTTTACTTTTCCGGGCTATAGAGTTCTTATGCTTATAAATTTTGAATTTTGGCTTACGCAGATTTCATTGATACAAGTGGCATATTAAGGAGGAAATAACAACAAGAAAATTCTTTCCTTTCTCTACTTCATTAACAAAAACAAGTGATTTTGATGAAAATTTTCCTGAGTCAAGTTCCGTCTAATCTGCAAATGACCACTGCTTCTTGACATGTTCATTCGCTTCATTCTCTTGGCAGCTCCTGTGGAGTTCTGCTTTTCGTGAGTGCACTCTTTGCGTCAGCTTTGGGTTGGGTCCGGAGATGATTACAACAGAGACACTTGTATTTTTCTTCAGTTACCAGAACTAGATGAGAGATTTGGACAGCATGATTAATGATGAAGGCAAACTATTTAATCCTATGAAACATGATGAAGTGTCCAAACTCGGCAATAGGTATTTTGGATTTTCATATTTGAGCAAATGGGCACTAAACAAAAATTCAATTTTCTTTCTAAAAAGCTAGCAGATGAAACATGCATGGCCACTGATTTAATTTTGGTGGTCTAAATGCATTCAGAAAGAGAAATTTTTAACAATTAAACATTTTATTTTGGAATAATTTTAAGTTTATAACAGTTGCAAAGTTAATACAGTGTCTGTGTACCTTTGATCCAGTTTCCCTTAAAGTGGTATTTTACAATACCATGGCATACTGGTTAAAGCTGAGAAACCACCATTGGCACATTGCTTTTAACTGAACTCCAGATTTTGTTTGGATTTTGCCAGCTTTTCCATGAACGTCCTCTTTCTGTTTCAGAATGCAAACCAAAGTGCCACACTGTGATGAATTGCCATATCTCCATAATTTCCACTGGACTGTGATGGTTCTTCATTTGTCCTTATTTTTTATGACCTTGATAGTTTTGAAGAGTATTACTCAGCTATTTAAGATTCTTCATGTTTGGTTTGAAGTGTTCAAGCAAGTCTTTCTCATGGTTAGACTTGGCCTATTAATTTTTGGAAAGAGCAGCAAAGAGATTTGCTGTTCTTATGACATCACATCAAAGGTGTACATGATACACACATGACATCACACTGATGGTGTACATCTTCCTCATTTGGTAAAGAGTGAGTTTGCCAGGTTTCCTCATGGTAAAGGTACTATTTTATTTTTGAGAATTGGGCACTTCAGGAAAATATAACAAGCTATTTCAATGCCACAGGCGAGTTATACTGTTAGTGAAAAAAACTATGGAGAGATATGGCCATTTTTGCTGTGTTTTCATTTAAGAATATATAAATTTGAACCATTCATCTAGGACAATAACATATTGGTAGAATCATTCTACTCTTCAAAGTATGAATTATATATCACAGAGCATTTTTTTCATAGTATAATAGTTAAAAACCATTTTCTCTGGATTGAATTTTCAAGGATGTATGACCTTAGGCAAGTGACTTAAGCTCTCGGCAACACAGTTTCTTTATTCATAACTTAAAGGGCCACAGACATACCAATGCCTACTGATATTGTAGATATCAGTATCAGTACAGGCTTGTTTGGAAGACTGAATGAGTTAATATTTGTAAACTGCTTAGAAGAGCACAAAATAAATGCTCCGCCCTTTGTCTCTGGTGTAGAGGTTTAGCAATTTGCCCTTGGTGTGCAGCAGTATCATAAAGGAAGCAGCATATTTTATATTTACCCGGAATCCTGTAAGCTCTTATAACTTAACTTCTTTGTTAAAGAAAAAAAAAGCACATTTATAGTGACCTGTGAATGTTTGTTTCATAGATAAAAGTGAAGAGACACTAGAGAAAAAAATCTCTTCATGCCTTTTTGGCTTTTATGAACTTTATAAAATGAGCATGCATTACAACTACAAATAGAAAACAATCCAACACATTTTTCAAGTTTTAAAGAATCATTTCCGTATTTCTGGAGATTTCAGTTTCCCATCAAATCCCAGAAAAAAAGTGATAATAGGTGGAGTAATCACACAAACTTTCAATTATTCATGAGCTAGTCATATATTTAATAAACTTCAGATTATATGTCATTTCCTATTTCTTACTACTAATTTTATCTGCCTCTAATTGTCCTAATTTTTCTCTTAGAATCATATTGCTGAACACTGGAGTATTTTTAAAAAACAGTCATTCCTTTTGTACATCTTTTCAATAAATAAGCTGGAAACTATTACATTCAAACTCCATTTTTATATACATGAAGTGACTGAAATAAACCAATGATCCAAGTGAACGTTAACAAGTAAAATTTCATCTAAGTGCACCTCCTGGTAGAGTACATATTTGTCTTCCTTTTTGAAAGCCTAATTTAAAAAAAAATTATTTTAATTTTTGCAAATTCTCAATTGAGTTTTTTTTTTTTTTTTTTCTAATTTATAAGTTTGCAGCATTGATTACAGCTTGAAACTACCGAAGATATTTGAGACACTGTATTTTGGTCTCCATTGTTTCAGTGCTTTTCTTTGATCCTTTCTGTCAAGAAATATAAGTAATTAGGAAGATGTGAAAAGGGAAATCGTTGAAAAAGACTGGAGTACATATACTATCTCCAGTGTCTGTTTTAAAAAAACAGCACTCTAGCACACCTTTCTACCCTCGATTAAGATTACTGTAATGAGAGCACCAGTACACCTGAGAGCACCAGTATCCCTGAGCGCCAGTAACCAAACGGACATTTCAGAAACTGAGCTTTTGATGTTTATATGAACATTCTTTCTTCCAGGACCTGCCTTGATTTCTTCAAGACTCATATTGCTGTATATGGTGTTGTATACATTTGGGGATGGTTGGGTAGCAGGAACTGATACAGAAAATTTTAAATGTAAAAAACACTGGGGAGTGAACCTTTCCATTAGATTCTTTTTTTGTTTGTTTCTTTATAGAAGAATTCACATCAGGTCGAGTTTCTGTTTAGGCAATGTTGGAAAACCTATTTCCATTTTATTTATTTAACAAACATTTATAAGGCACTTAAATCCATGCTGGCTCTTAACAAATGTTGACTCATTTCTCATAACTGCCTTAGGGTAGAAATCAGAGGCTAAACAGCTTGCAGGTGATGCTTCGCTACTAAATGCGGGTGGCAGCCTGGCCTGTGTTCTCTGCTTGGCTAGGAACACAGGTCTTATCTCTTGAGCTGGGCTGTGTAGAACCCTGTTCTGGAGACATTTGCCCCTGGGGCAGTGGCCTCTGCTTTTTCCACCTCCTCGCATCGTACCCATGTCTCAGAGAACTCTGAATCCACTTAAACCCTCTAAAAACCTAATGATGAATAAAAATAAGTTCTCTAAAACTTCTGGAGAAAAATATAATAAAGGTACCAGGTTAAATGACTGAAATTCCTGAGAGAAAACAACATGTGTGTGTTTCTCTAGAAAGGAGGCCCAACACTGAATACCAGGAAGTCCTATAGTAAATGGAATGTGACTCTACGTGGGATCTGGAGTTGGTGTTTCATCCGAATGCACGTCTGCTCCTTCAGTGGGAAGAGTGCTTGCACACCAGGTATCCGCTCCCTGGTGTCTTGGGATATAACCTCTAAAGACAGAACCAGGAAGGATGAGCCCATGAGCCTGCTGGATCCAGCCCCTCCGCAGCTCCGGAGTGGCAACCAGTGCCGTATTTCTAGATCCAATCTGAACCCCTCCTATGGGGAAAATATTTCCAGGGGATTTTGGAAGTTCCAACATTTCAGAGGGAAGAAGGAAGTTATGCAGAACACGAAAAAAGAGGTCATGCTATACAGGCCCGGCTTCCACTGACACTAACACTGGATTCAACTTTTGACACTGATAATCTGTTGCCACCAAATGGAGAACATAAACAAGATATTCTAAGTGTAATTAGAGAATATGCCACACAAGGAACAAGAAGAACATTCTCTGGAATCTCACATGGTGACTATAGTTTCACAGAGAGAATTGATGTTAGATGCATATGAAATAGGCTAAACTCCAGACACGAATCCCGAGACAAAACTCTTTTCTTCACAAAGGGGTCCCGCCTCCCTTGTCGCGGTTCTCAGCTCTTTCCCGGCTCGGGGTCACACACTTTGGGATCACCAGGCACCCAAGATCCCACCTCTTCAGCGCTGGCTGCCACGCAGTCCTCCTCCAGGGATTTGGGGCACAAGGCGAATATCCCGAGTCTCAGAGCCCACGCGGGTTACTCTGGAGGGCGACGCGCGGGCACCACCAGTGGACTCCCCCACCTCACCCGCACCCCAGGCGCTCCACCCGGGGGCGGGGCCTGTGCTTTCTTCCGGACTCCCGATCGATCAGGAGCTCCGGGAATTTCCCTGGCCAGGGGGCTCCGGGCTTTCCAGCCCCGAACATGCATAAAAAGGATTCGCCGACCTCGGGGAGCCACAGAGCCCGGGCCGCAGGCACCTCCCCGCCGGCTCTCCCGCTCCTCGCACCGCCGCCCGACCCGCCCGCCGAGCCCCATGGCCCGCGCCGCGCTCTCCGCCGACCCCCGCAACCCCCGGCTCCTGCGGGCGGCGCTGCTGCTCCTGCTCCTGGTGGCCGCCGGCCGGCGCGCGGCAGGTGGGTCCCGGCGTCCGGGGGACCCCGGGCGGGACGCGGCTGGGGCGGCGCCCCCCAGCGACGGCCCCGCTCAGTCGGCGAGTCTCTTCTTCCCTAGGAGCGCCCCTGGCCAATGAACTGCGCTGCCAGTGCCTGCAGACCCTGCAGGGGATCCACCTCAAGAACATCCAAAGTGTGGAAGTGAAGCGGCCGGGACCCCACTGCGACCGAACCGAAGTCATGTGAGTCCCGCCCCGCGCCGCCGCCGCCGCCGCCGGCTCCCAGGCCCTCCCGCCGCCCCGACCCTGTCCCCAGCCCGACCTCCTGCCTCACGGATCCCCTTCTCTCTGCAGAGCCACACTCAGGAATGGGCAGAAAGCTTGTCTGAACCCCGCATCCCCCATGGCTAAGAAAATCATCGAAAAGATGCTGAACAGGTGAGTGATGGTTTCCATGGACGCAGGCGACTAGAGCCGCTGGTCAGAAAAACTGGCATCTGGCCCCGAAATAGTAAATCAGGAAAACCCAAGCGTTAGCTGAAGGACTGAAGAAAAGACTGTTTTCACAATTAAAGTTTCCTTTACGATAATTACTGCTCCCGTGCCTGAGGATATTCGCAGTGCCCGGGGTCCACACCCAGGTTCTTCACTCGTTCCAGTGAACGTACGTAAAACTGCCTTCATTTAATTTCTCACCGGGGCTTGTCAGTTGTGCTGAAGTGTTTTCCAACTGTTTAAAAACACAGGCTTCGTTTCCTCTAGTTCCTACTGGGCTTCAAACCTGAAAAGCAGACCCCCTGGTTAAAAGTTTAGGAGGGAAGAGCAGAGATTTCACAATGATATTGCCCTGGGTACACATCTAGGTGCCACCACCTATTAGCCATGTCACTCAAGGACAATTATTGTTTTATCTAAGTCTCAGACTAACAGGGAAAAAAACAGTAGCTACATCATGAGGTTGCTCTGAGGTTTAAGTGAGGCCCAGTATGGCAAAGAGCAGCAGGTTGTCGCTGTTTTTAAACCAATAATACAGTGGAGACCATCAACCCCTCCCCACCCCATTCCTAAAAGAGCATCCCAAGCCTAGCGGTCCCTGCCACACAGCACAGCTGTCACCCGCAGTAGCCACTTGGGTGCCAGGCTGGGAAAAGTGCATTCAGAAAACTCTGGAGCATGGGGGAACAGGACGGGCGAAGAGTGTTGTGCAGTCCGCTTTCCCGAGCACCTACTCAGGGCACCCATTTTCTCATTGCAGTGACAAACCCAACTGACCAGAAGGAAGGAGGAAGCTCATTGGTGGCTGTTCCTGAAGGAGGCCCTGCCCTATAGGAACAGGAGAGAAAGAGAGACACAGCTGCAGAGGCCACCTGGACTGCACCTCATGTGTTTGAGCATTGCTTAGAAGTTTTCTATTTATTTATTTATTCGTTAATTTTTGAAGATTCTATATTAATATTTTAGGTATAAAATAATTAAGGGTATGATTGAATCTACTTGCACACTGTCCCAAAATATTCATTCTTTTTTTAAATGTCGACCCCAAGTTAGTTCTATCTGGATTCATATTTAATCTGAAATAATTAATAGAATGTTTAATACTTCTGAGGAGTCTGCAACATGCCAGCCACTGTGATAGAGGCTGGAGGATTCAAGCAAATGACCAGTGAGATCATTGTAAGGGCAGGGGAATGTATGTGCACATCTATTTTGTAACTGTTTAGACAAATGTCAGTTGTTATTTATTGAAATGATTTCACAGTGTGTGGTCAACATTTCTCTTGTTGAAACTTTAAGAACTAAAATGTTCTAAATATCCCTTGGACATTTTATGTCTTTCTCGTAAGGCATACTGCCTTGCTTAATGTTAGTTTTACTGTGTTTCTATCTTAGAACAAAGGGGTTTAAATATTAATGTTTACATCAAGAATATAAAAATAAAGCACTTTAAAATATAAAATGTTCGTTTAATTTTTGGGGGAAACAAGGGCTAATTTTACTGGAAAATATGGTGATTTTTATCAATATTTCTCAATGTTTTTGATTTTGTTTTCTTTTCTGGGTGTTCAATTTGCTATACAGATAAATCAAACTATGACTTATACTTTATTTCATGTGGTGATTGCTGTCAATGCCCTTGGCTCTCACATGGTGAAGAATGTGCTTTACCAAACTATGTGTCCCCTGATGGGAGAGTCACTGATATAAATTGTCCTTTTTATAAGAAACTTTTTGTTGTCTTGCTACTCAAACTTACCTCCTTAAAATATTGATATTATTTTATCTTTACAAGGGCTCTCATTTCATTGCTTTTGTTAAATAATATTTCTTATAATTATTGACAATATAATGAAGCTGGCAGTGACATGGTGGCTAAAATATTTCATTTTTCAAAAATCATTTGAGTAGTCAATAGAAGCAGAAGTGAGTGGCTAAATACTTCACCTGTGAAAAGATCTTATTGAAATTTGGACTCAACTTTCTAAACTTCACGAAATATAAGTAGTAGCACTAAGATTAATGTTGTTTCAATTCTTTGTAGCAATATACAAAATATAATTGTTTTAAGATTGGATTGCATTAGTTCTCATCCTTCCTAGTAGAATTTTGATGGGAACTCATAGAGCGCTTGCCCTCTGGGGAACTCTATATTCAATGCTGCCCCAAGATGACAGCAGCCCTACAGGTTTGTAGGACAGAAACGTAATTGTCATGTCAAAGAAAGAAAGACCCCATAATATAAAATAAACCACACTCCAAACCTGAAAAGGAAGGATGCCCATGCATTGGTGAGGTGTGTACTTGCTTCTGATTCAGGACTCTTTCAGTAAATCCCAACCCCTGGGTAACTGCCCATAATAGAGGCAAGAAGGTGAGGCTGGCAGCCTAAATACTTGAAATCAAGTTCTGGATTGTCCCAAGAAGCTGGGCAAATAAAGGTCCTAAGTAGCAAGATACAAACTCTGAGGTTTGTAGGACAGAAACGTAATTGTCATGTCAAAGAAAGAAAGACCCCATAATATAAAATAAACCACACTCCAAACCTGAAAAGGAAGGATGTCCATGCATTGGTGAGGTGTGTACTTGCTTCTGATTCAGGACTCTTTCAGGAAATCCCAACCCCTGGGTAACTGCCCATAATAGAGGCAAGAAGGTGAGGCTGGCAGCCTAAATACTTGAAATCAAGTTCTGGATTGTCCCAAGAAGCTGGGCAAATAAAGGTCCTAAGTAGCAAGATACAAACTCTGAGGTTTTCTCACAATGAAAAAAGTTAAAAATAATAATCTCTTCATAATTCCAAGGTTATTAGTTAAATACAAATAAGATGAGAAAGATGAATGTTTGTAAAATGTACATGAGTAAATAAATGCAAACCATTCGAGAAGCTCCATAAATGGTAGCATTCACTCCCTAACCCCAACTTAGAGAACACTGAAAAATGTTTACAAGTAGCACCCGAGGGTTCAATAAAACCGTTCCCTACAGTTAAGACAAGTTCTTACCCTCAAACATTGGAGCTTGCTGTACTGGCTACCTAGCTCTTGCTAACATGGAACAGGCAACATACAAAGGACAAAAGAGATGCTTTTATTCACATGGTGGTTAAAGACAGATTTCAAATGATCAGATTGACTTTGGAGTAAATTCCAGCTCTGTCACTGTGATCTTAGGCAAGTTTCTTTACTTCACTCAACCACATTTCCCCTCTGTAGAATGAGGATAATAACAGAATGAGTCTTCTGAAGTGCTGCAGAGATTAAATGTTATGGAGGCTCTGGAAACACCGTTCTTGCCATTGGTCATCAGGCCAACTCCATGGACATTGTCTCAATCTCAGTCTTAGATCAAGCAGATATCTACATTGTTTTCACACCAAATTGCCCTGAAAATTTGCAAGTACAAGGCAGTCTCCTGTTGGGAATGTTATGGCAGAAAGTAGGTAGGATACAGCCTGTTTGAGGTGGTAGTCACAGGGCGAAGGAAGTAGGAAGAAAATATTACATAAAACATCACAGTTTTGAGAGGCCATCAGCAGGAAACAACACCACAGTGACTGACCACAGTGACTGAGGTTTCCTGGGCAATATTACCATGGGAGCTAGAGAAGGAAAGAAGGAGGGGTGGCTAACACTATCCCGTCATCGTGAGTCCTCCTGAGACACCCTCTCAGGACTTCCAGAAGTAACTGGAGAGACGTTAAGGTATGGTGGAGGTGGCAGACCCATAATAGCACTGTGGGGGGAAATCCAGAAAAACAGATCACACTCTTTGTATTTTATGGCTACCCAATCACATAACTTTTTTTTTCCTCTGAGACACAGCCTTGCCCTGTTGCCCAGGCTGGAGTACAATGGCATGATCTTGGCTCACTGCAACCTCTGTCTCCTGGGTTCAAACAATTCTTCTGCCTCAGCCTCCTGAGTAGCTGGGATTACAGGTACTCACCACCACACTCAGCTAATTTTTGTATTTTTAGTAGAGACAGCGTTTCACCATGTTGGCCAGGCTGGTCTCAAACTCCTGACTTTGGGATCCACCCACCTCGGCCTCCCAAAATGCTGATATTAACAGGTGTGAACCATTGTGCCCAGCTCCCAATCACATCATTTAAAAAAGGGCCTGTCCTGTCTTCAACAGTGATGTCCTACTCCACTCACAATGAATTCAACAGCTGCAGTGGACAACAGCTTCCCAACTTGAGGCAGCTGTTCTTCTGCATGTCTTCCTGGGGGTTTTCTCCATTGAACTGTGGGAAAGGGGGCTTGGCAGAGAGAGCTTTCTCAGCCCCAAAGCAGGATGGCCTGGGATTTGATGCCCTGAGAGGAGAGATAAGAGTTAATGGATGAATATTCCAATTTCCTAGTCTCTTGTTAGACAATTCTAGAAGTTTCTCTATCAATATATGTGTGTGTTTAAATTTTATAAATAGTGTGTATTAAAATAAAGTGAATAAATATTAAAAAGACAAATACATAAATATATGAAATGTTCCACTTCTCTCTTTATGTTTATACCTCCTTTAAACACCTGAGCACATTTAAAACAGTTATTTAAAAATGTTGGTATGCTAAGTCTATCATTCTGTCACTTCTAAATGTATATTTATTTAGTTTTTTTCTCTTATTATAATTCATGCTGTTCTACTTCTTAGCATGTATAATCATTTTCATTTGACTGCAGGAAATTTTGAATCTTATGCTGCTCAGTGTCAAGATTTTTTTTCTTTCTTTAGAGTCTTGGACTCTGTTCTGACAAGCAGTTAAATTCTAGGGCATTGGCTTGGTCTCTTTGAGGCTTGTTTTTGAGCTTTGTTAGGGTGGTCTAACAATGTTCTTCATGCTAATATTTGTTTAGCTGTATTACTAAGTCATGACTTTCTTGTGCCATTAGTGAATGCCCTGAGTGCTCACACGTTCTCTCTACTATGACAGGGCAGACTTCAAATATCCCCTCATTCCATGCCAGGTCTGAGATTTTCTCAGCTAACAAAGCTCTAGTTACTTTTTGCTTTGCTTAGAGTTTCACCCCATGCACGTGTGACTTAATATTGATCCAAGAGACCTAGTGGGACCTCAATGCAGATTTATGGAGTTCTGGTTTCTTGCATAGATCTCTCCTTTCTGCAGCTCATTTTCCTAAACTTCTGGCCACCCTAATTCCCCTGAATTCAAGTTTGTGCTCCCTCAACTCAGTAGGACTATCATGGTCTACTTTGGATCTCTCCCCACACACAATGGTCCAGAGTTGCTCCAGAAAAAAACCAGGATAATCATACATCTCACTCTGTTTAGTTCCTTTTCTGAGAAATTTTAGTCTTTTTCTGCTTGTTGTCCAATGTCTGGTAAAAGCTGATTCAACAGTTGTTGAGTTTTCTAATTGCTTAAAACAGAAAGTTATGACTTATGTTTTACTTTAACATGATTGGAAATTGAAGTCTTAGTGGCACAATTCTGAGGAACATTTTACAAGGTTTCTCTGAGACTCCATGGCAAGATGAAGCCCTGATTTCCCTCAGTAATATCTCATTCATTACATACCCTTTGTTAGATTTTTCTTTTTTTTTTTTTAATGAAAATTATGTGTGCTTGTGTCCTGGAGCCTGGCACAAAAAAGGTGCTCAAAAAGCTCTGCTTCCTTTCCCCTCCTTTCCTCTGCTTCCCTTGCCACTGCCTTTATCCTCCTCCTACTTTAGATCAGCAATGTTGCATTATCTTCACCTGCTTGCCCCTCAGTTTTCTCATCTGTGAAGCGGGGATACAGAACACACTGGGTTGTCATGAAGCTTACCTATGCTGCTGTAAGTCTATGGAATGCCAAGACTCCCCAAGGATTCTTCATAGTGGGAGTGAGGCCACCAGAGTGTCATGGTCACCCTTGGCTCTCACTCGTTTTGCTGAATTAGTTCAGCACAGATGTCTTGGTGGCCTCTGAATACTTGGTGGCTGTTGGGCTTGTGGCCAGGTGTAGTGGCTCACACCTGTAATCTCAGCATTTTGGGAGGCCAAGTTGGGAGGGTTGCTTGAGCCCAGGAGCTGAAGACCAGCCTGGGCAACATAGTGAGACCCCCCCCCCCATCTCTACTATATATATAAATTAGCCAGGTGTGGTGGCGTGTGATCCTCACCACGGTTTTAATTTGCATTTTTCTGATAATTAGTGATGTTGGGCACTCTGCATATGCCTGTTAGCTATTTACATGTTTTATTTGGAAAAATGTTTATTCAAGTCCTTTGCCCACTTTTTTTATAATAAAAAGAATAAAGAAGAGGAAGAAAGAGAAAGAGGAAGAGGGAGAAAGGATGGGGGTATTGCTTTATTGCCCGGGCTAGAATGCAATCTAAATATGGGTATGTCTATAATTGTCCTTAATAATGGAGATATAAAAGAAAATGAGGGAAGAGAATAACAAACAAGGAGCCAACCAACATTTTGTTTAAACTTCTAAATTGATATGATGTGGTATTGATAAGAGTGTATATTTTGTATACTTAAAGTGGAGAGTTCTATAAATGTTAATTACATTTAC